CACCCCAATTTGACATTGCACAGGAGGTTCTAACCTGTGCAAGAAAGAAAAAGAAATAGAAGACATCCAGATTGCAAAGAAAGAGGTAAAATTGTCTTCCTTTGAAGATGCGGTAGTCTGTGTAGAGAAGCAGATGAAATTTACTAAACAATTGAAACTAATTAAATGAGCTTAGCAAGAGTACAAAATGAATACAGAAAAATCAATTATTTCTATATACTAGCAAAAAACAATTGGAGATTTGAAATTTAAAAACAATACCACTTCCAATAGCATCAAAATATATGAAAAAAATGCAAAATATTGCTGAAAAAATTAAATAAAACATAAATAAGTGGAGAGATATACCATGTTTATGGATTTGAAGATTCAGTATTGTTAAGATGTCAGTTCTTTCCTTATTGGTCATTAATGAAGTGCAAATTAACACCACAATGAGATACTACTATACACTCACTACAATGCATAAAATTAAAGTGATTTATCATAGTAAGTGTTGGCTAGGATGTGGGGGCAACTAGGGGAATGTAAAATGGTACAATGACTTTGCAAAACAGTTTTGCAGTCTTTTAAACAGTTAAACATAAACCTATCATGTGATCCAGCCATTACATTTTTTGATATTTACACATGAGAAATACGTCTCCACAAAACCTTATACTTGAATGCTCACAGTAATTTTATTTCCAATAACTAAAAGCTAGAAGCCACTTAGTGACCATCAAAAGGTGAATTGTTAAACAAATTGTGGTATATCCATTCAGTGGAATACTACCCAGCAATAAAAAGCAATGAGCTATTGATAAATGCAGCAACATGAATGAATCTCAAAGTAATTATTTGAGTAAAAGAAACCAAACAAAAAAAGATTGCATACTGTATGATTCTGCTTACATATTATTCTAGAAAATGTAACTAATCTCTAGTAAGAGAAAGCAAATCACTGGTTGCTCAGGGATATTGTGATGTGGGAGGGGTGGTAGGAAGGGCTTATAAAGAAACACAAGCAAACTTTTGGGAATCAATGTGTTCATTATTTTGATTATGGTAGTAGATTTGTGGTTTTATACATATGTCAAAATTTATTGAATTGTATAGTTGAATTATATACAGTTGATTGTATGTCCATAAATGTAGCTCAGTAAAGCTGTGAATAAAAAAAAGAAAAGAAAAAACACACCTACAGATCAGAAGGAAACTATAATATACACATTTCTACATAAATTAAAAATTAAACTTGGGAAAAGTCATTTTTATGAAGGAAAACCCTGCAGCAGAAATCCAAGAGTTCAGGAAGAGATGCCAATTCAACAGGAGACATTAAAACAGTATTTGATAGAACTCAAGAAAGCAATAGCAGAAAGAATGAAATTATCCAGCTGGAAAAAACACAGAGCAAGTTAGCAATGTGGTGAACACAGTGGGGCTGTAGAGCAGAGTTAGCAAACTATGGCCCATGGGTCAAATTAATTCCATCTCCAGTTCATACTTGGCACTCAAGCTAAAAATAAATGACTTTTACATTTCTAGATGGTTGGAAAAAAACAAAAAATAGAAAAATATGCAACAGACACTATATATGGACTGCAAAGCATAAAATACTATCTAGCAGCAATAAGGAGCCCTAATAGTGCAGTGGTTAAGCACTTGACTGCTAAACATAAGCTTGGTGGTTTGAACCCATCAGCTGCTCCGTGGGAGAAAGATGTGGCAGCCTGCTTCTGTCGAGTCAATTCCGACTCACAGCGACCCTATAGGACAAAGTAGAACTGCCTCATAGGGTTTCCAAGGAGCCGCTGGTGGATTCAAACTGCTGACCTTTTGGTTAGCAACCGAGCTCTTAACCACTGCACCACCAGGACTCCCAGCAAAGATTACAGCCCTGGAAATTCTAATGGGACAGTTCAACTTTGTCCTGTAGAGTCACTGTGAACTGGAATTAACTTGATAGCACACAACAACAACATCTAGGAGCTTCAAGATTATAGGAAGACTCATTAACAACCTGAGATATGCAGATGACACAACCTTGCTTGACGAAAGTGAAGACGATTTGAAACACTTACTGATGGAAATCAAAGACTACAGCCTTCAGTATGGATTACACCTCAACATAAAGAAAACAAAAATTCTCACAACTAGACCAATAAGCAACATCATAGTAATAAACATAGTAATAGACAATAATGAAGTTGCCAAGGATTTCATTTTACTTGAATCAGCAAACAATGCCCATGGAAGCAGCAGTCAAGATATCAAAGGACATATTGCATTGGGCAAATCTGCTGCAAAAGGTCTCTTTAAAATCTTAAAAAGCAAAAATGTCACCTTGATGACTAGTGCGCTGACCCAAGCCATGGTATTTTCAATCACCTTATATGCATGCGAAAGCTGGACAATGAATTGGAAGACCAAGAAGAACTGACACATTTGAATTATGGTGTTGGTGAAGAATATTGAATATACCATGGACTGCCAGAGGAACGAACAAAATCTGTCATGGAAGAAGCACACCCAGAATGCTCCTTAGAAGCAAAGATGGTGAGACTTTGTCTCACATACTTTGGACATGTTATTAGGAGGGACCAGTCCCTCGAAAAGGACGTCATGCTTGGTAAAGCAGAGGGTCAGCAAAAAATAGGAAGACTCTCAATGAAGTGGATTGACACAGTGGCTGCAACAATATTCACAAACCTACCTACTATTGTGAGGATAGTGCAGGACTGGGCAGTGTTTTGTTCTGTTATACATAAAGTTGCTGTGAGTCGGAGCTGACTGGATGGCACCTGACAACAGTAGCCTTTTGCAGAAAAAGTTTGCTGACCTCTAAGAGGATCAGATTGGGAAAAAAAAAAGCTTATGAAATGAAATCAAAATTAGGAAACGCTTAAAATTACAAGGAAAATGATACTAACAGAAGATAGGCAAAGAGATTCAACATTGTATAATTGAAATATGTATTAAAACCAAAACCAAACCTGTTGCTGTCAAGTTGATTCCAATTCACAAAGACCCTACAGGACAGAGTAGAACTGCCCCCAGAGGGTTTCCAAGGAGCAGCTGGTGGATTTGAACTGCTGACCTTTTGGTTAGCACGCCGTAGCTCTTAACCACTGTGCCACCAGGGCAAAGCCCCAAAGTAATGGAAAAGTAAATTTTTAAAGACATAAATCAGGAAGAAATTTCAGGAAAAAATATAACTTGAAGCTACGTATTTGAAATGATACACCGCATGTCCCAGAATGGTCAACAAGAAGACATACTCTAGTAAAGTTACTCACTTGTAAAGAAAAAATAGACTCCTTTGGCCAGCAGTCATTAAAAGTCAAGTTACTTATAAGAGGAAAGGAAAACAATTGAGATTCACTTCAAACTTCTCTACACTAAACTCAGCTCCAGGTAACAATGAAGTCAGAGCTACAAGATCCTCAAGGAAAGAAAGTGAGAGCCAAGGATTTTATATTCAATCAAACTACCCTTCAGATAAAATGTTGCAGATAATTAGATTTGGAAAAAAAAAAAAAAAAAAAAACTCAAGAAATGCTGTTCTCATAACCACTTTTTGAGGAAACTACCAGAGATCAAACTTCAACCAGTCAAGAGATATCTGAAAATTCTACAACAAAGGACTGGAAGTGAGCACTGGCCATATTTAGGTATAAAGCTAAGAGTAAAACATGGAGCACTAGGTGCCTAACTGAAAGTAAATGCCCTGGAATTGTAGAAACAAGACAACTAACAAAAAAAAGAGGACAAGGGTGAAAGGTAATTATGCTTGTCTCATCTGCAGAGGAGATCAAGAAGTACTTTAAGCTGACGAATCAAGTAATAGCAGTTTAAGCATAATTTTTGTTGTTATTAGCTGCCATGGATTTGCCTCCCAACTCAAGGTGACCCCATGCACAATGGAGCAAAATGCTGCCCTGTCCTTTGCCATCCACATAATCAGTTGGGGATCAGACTGTTGTGATCCATAAGGTTTTCACTGGCTGGTTTTCAGAAGTAGATCACCAGGCCTTTCTTCCTAGTCTGTCTTAGCCTGGAAGCTCTGCTGAAACCTGCTCAGCATCATAGCAACACGCAGGCCTCCAATGACAGATGGGTGGTGGCTGCACATTAAGAGCATTGACCAGGAGTCAAACTTTGGTTTCCTGCATGGAAGGCGAGATTTCTACCACTGTACCACCATTGTCCTTTTATTTTTTGTACTAAGGTAAACACTGAGAAAAATAATGTTATCAATAAATATCAGACCGTGGAAGAAGTGCAAATAAATCAGAAACATTTTGTCACTGTTCAGGATAGGAAACTTACAGATACTGTCCAAAGATATAGAGAAGTAAGAGTATTAACTAAAGTTATCATTGTAATGGTGGTTACTGCAGGCCTAACCAGGGTCTCACCACAAGGAAGGGAAGGGCCTGCATACTCTAACTATCCTCTCTCTGTATATCTCATTTAACATCTCATCATTGTCACTTAACAACAATCACATCAACATACCAGCTTAAAAAGTACTTTTATAGAACATGTTGAAGGAGAGCAACTGCTCCCCTGCCCCTGGAACACAGCAAGGGCCAGTCTACCCTTAGAGTCCACTGAGGCTCAGGCCTAGAGCTCGGAACTGGTTGGAACGGCTGTCAAAGCCAAAATTCCACCCAGACCCCACGACCTCCAGGCGGGGAACCCAGGGTCTCAAGAGAGGGAACAAGCAGGCTGTGGAGGCTGGGAAGCAGAAAGAGTTTGACACAGTGGCACCATGAAGTTGCTCATAAGACACTGAATCTGTAATTAAATGGATTGTTTTCTCTTACCACTGTCACTGATAGAACATCATTGCAGCATATCTAAACTTAAGTGGACTCCTTAAACAGTTGTTGGTGAGAGCATGCTGTTTTGACATCTCTTCTGCAAGAAGTGAAGAATATTGAATTATTGTAGTAGGCCAATTGGAAGTTATTTTTACTTACACTTGCTTTTTTTTTTTCCCCCCATAAAAGCCTCAATTTATACCAAGTAGGATCGCTGAGTTCACTACCACCTGCCAAACTTCAGCACCTAAGGTCAGTAATTAAAGTTGAATGGAACCATTTGTATCAAGTTTCACATGGAAGAAAGCCTTATCAAGGGCTGTCATCTTGGTTTATGAGGTTCAGAAAATGAAGCACTAATAGATTTTTTTTAACAGCCATTTTTTTTTCTTAATAGGGTAATACATATTTATTAGTGAAAAGTTGGAAAATAAAATATAAATAAGAAATTTAAATCACCCATTGTCTTACTGCCTGGAAATGATGACCATTTTAAATATTGTAATGTATTTTTTCAATATTTTAATGGCACACACACATACGTGTATAGAGAGAGGAACACTCCCTTGGAGAGATGGGTTGGCACAATAGGTGCAGTGATGAATTCAAACATGCCAGCGATCATGAGGAGGGTGCAGGACCAGGCAGCACTTCATTCTGATGTACATATGGTTGCCATGAGTCAAAGTGAGCTTGAAGGCAGCTATCTATTGATACACACACACACACACACATATATATGTATATATACATCCACATATATATACAGAAACACGCACACATATATATACAGACACATATATGTATATTCATCTATTCATTCATCCATCCCGAGAGAGAGTGTGTTAGTCTATAGATGTATATTTGCCTACTAATGTTTTATACATAATCTCTATATTGTTTCTCGTGGTTGTTAAATGTCATATTACATTATATCTCTCAGATGTTCATTATTATCTAAAATTGGAAATTTAGAGGGAAATATTTTTGAACGTTTAGAGTTTCTTGGTTATACCAATCACACATACAAAGTATGGGGAACTCTTTACAATTTTAATTATTCACATTTCTTATACGTGAACCTTTAGATAAATAGCCAACCTTTAGATAAATAGATTACTGATATATATACATAATTTATTTTATATCTTTGGCATTTCTTGACTATTTCAGACATTGGAACACTTGTTTCCAGAGTGACTTCTTAGTTTGTATTTTCTTTGTTTATATCTTCTGCTACTACATCAAGCAATCAGGAACCCGTGAACCCGATAATAAATTGGAACTCTTACCATCTTTTAATCCAACTCCCTCCTTTTACAGTATTTTACCTAAGATCACTACAGAGCTGAATTGCAGAACCAGGAGTAGGATCTATCCCTTTATAGCAAATTATTACCAGAGTCTGAGAGTGAGATCAGGAAAAGGATTCTTTCAGGAGTTGACATCGGTAAAAGCCATCTGTCAGTGACTTGCCTGAGGAAATAGATTGCAAATGTGTTGTTATAAGGCCCCTGGGTAGAATCTCAGGAATATGATTGGCACACAAAAACTTGAGCAAACTGCATGTAACTTTACATTGTACTCAACTGCGGTGTAACTTGACACAAAAGTGGTGGTTACATGAAAGTAAAGGGGGTCCAACCGATTTCCTTGTGCCCTCAGCATTTAAGGGTAGGAAGTTCCTTGACCAGTGTATCTAGTCCTCTGGTGGATAATGATGTACTTACGAGTGCCATGGTGTCACTCCACACCCCAAACTCCTTCTAATAGTCATTTTTGCTTTCTTACAGGAAACACATTTTAGGTTTTAAATATATTGACCTAGTATATCATTTAATATGTGTATATGTGTATGCAGGTTTTGACCAGTAGGCACAAATATTCCAGTTTTCTTAGCAAATATATCCTACATCAGTTAAGTACAACCAGCAAAGGCAAGAAGCAGAATATGGGGTGGGGGAGGGATAAGGACAAGCCTCGGACATGCCAGGGAGCCAAAGGCAAGTGAACCTGGGTGGGGGGGAAAGGCAAGGTACAAAGTATGTCTTCAGTCTGGGATCTTGTACATTCTCATAATCAGAAGATTTCTTGACTCAGCCCAGCTCTGCAGCTATTCCTGAATCAAATTCTTGATGAGCTGTTACAGCGGTATCCATTTACTAAGGCCTATTTTCTAAGCTCCTGATTTTTAAATTTTTATTAGTAATAAGAAATACTACCCAATGTCATAAGGTTGTGAGGGAAGTGGTAATTAATTATAAATAAGCTAACTACCCAAAAAATAACAACTTGTTATTTGTTATTTAAGGAAAATACCAAAACTCAGAGAATCCAGCCTTTGGGTGGTGACTTGAAGCATGAGTCTCTCCCATCCTTTGAGATTTCAGTCAGCCATCGAGGCCAGAAAAGACACACAGAAGGGTCAGACTCAGATGTAGAATTCATTTCAGAGACTAAAATGATGAAGATGACTATGCAGAAGAAAGGGAAACCTCAACAGTGGAGACACCCAGCAGCCCCACCAGAAAATGTCAAACCAGCTGAGAGATCCCAGGTGTGTTTTTTTCTTTTTGAGAGATCCCAGGTGTGTTTTTTTCTTTTTGAGAGATCCCAGGTGTGTTTTTTTCTTTTTCTTCACAAAAATTATAGTAATTCACTTGTTTTGGAAATAGCTTTTGGTAAAGGTTTTGCTTCGTTTTTCCATTTTTAAAGGTCTCTAATTATAGAATACAAATTGCAATCTGTATTTCCTGGATAAGTTCCCAATTTCTTTTTTATTTGTATTCTCTCTTTTGGAGAACAGTCAGATTGCTAGTATCAGCACAGTGTGTGGAAAGCTCAAATCAGTTGAAGGCCTCCCTGAAAAAATGCCTGGTAGGAAGAAGTATTTTAAATGTATTTTTAAAAAGAGAGAAATATTCATATATAATTAATGTATAATCTTTAGAATTTTGCATTCAGTGTTTATATAGGAAAAATGCTTAGCCAAATTACAGGTAAGTAGTTATCCCTGTATCAAAGTCCTAGAAAAATGGGATATAACATCAATATACAACTAAGTAAGTGTTGAGACTGATTTTAACAAATGTCCTACCCTAGAATTTCCATGTATCCAAATGAGTTTGTTTCTGGTAAAAGAATCACTATGCATTCATTGTTATGTTACCCTTATTTAATTTGTTCATGAGAATTAGCCTTCAGATTCAGTATTTCGTAATAGTAATAATACCTACTATTGAGTGAGCACTGACCTCGTGTCAGGTATAGTGTCAGATGGTTACAGACAGCATTTCACAAACTACTGGTTTATATCTTTTGTAAGCCAAAAAATTATTGCCTATTTTTATCAACCTTGTTCATCAAGTTTAACTTCTAATGCCTTTTTATTATAATTCACCCTTAAAGGGGGACTCTGAGCTACCATGGAAAACATTAAAATGAATTGCAGTGGGTTTTGATAGCAATAAGCTAATTTGATTAGCAAATATGTATTGAGACAAAGTGTCTTACACAGGGTGACAAGATGTTTTAGGCATGGTTCTTTCAAAAGAAATTATTCTGAACAGTGGTCACATTACAGAAATATCTCATACATTCCCTTTGTAACATCTTTGGCAAATGGTGTCCAGCCTCTTTGTGAAAATATGTAGTGATGGAGAACTCATTACCTCCTAAGGAAGCCTTCTACTCATTCTGTTTGTTGGGTAGCTCATCCTCTTAAAATAATCGAAATCTGAACTGACTCGAACTGCTACCGTCAAGTCAATTCTGACTAAAAGTGACCGTTAAGACAGAGTAGAACTGCCCCATAAGGTTTCCAAGGCTGTAAACTTTACAGAAGCAGACTTCCACATCTTTCTCCTGCAGAGCAGCTGGTGGGTTCGACCCACTGACCTTTCAGTTAGCAGCCAAGTGCTTAACCACTGCACCACCAGGGCTCCTTATCTGAAATCCAGTTCCCCATAATTTTGAAATGTTAATCTTAAATCTTCCCTTGAGTCTATATAAACCAAGCAGAATATGTCTACAATTACCACAGAATTTTAATTTTTCTGTTACTTTGAATATCGTTTCATGTTTGAATGTACAAGTTCATATATTCAGCAGATACTTACTCAACACTTGCTATGTTCAAAGTACTGCATGTTTGTAATATAAAAAGTAACTTTGTCACCTCATATAGTCACAGTGCCTCTCACCCTGATTTCCAGAAAAACTCAATAGCTGTGCAGTTTTAAGATTTGTGTTTAGTTGGTTTATTTTGTGGGGATGCTACATGCTCCAAAAACATACACATGATCGAGAAGTTTAGAATGTTCCCACATTAAGACAACGCATTTTAGACTTAACTATAGAGATACACTTAGTGTAACATTTAATACGTGTATGTATATGTTAATAAATATTGATGTCTTAATTTGGAACCCTGGTGGCACAGTGGTTAAAGGTTTTGGGCTGCTAACCAAAAGGTCAGCAGTTCTAATCCACCAGCCACTCTTTGGAAACACTATAGGGCAGTTCTGCTCTGTCCTATGGGGTTGCTATGAGTCGGAATAGACTTGACAGTAACGGGTTTGGTTTTTGGGCATGTATAATTCAGTATGCTAGCTACAGGGATTCAGTGGTGAGCAAAACCACATGATGTCCCTGTTCCCACTGAACTAACAGTCTAGTGAGGGAGACAGACAGTCACATAAGTACACAGACAAATAGAAGCTGCTACTGTGGTAGTTTTCACGGCAGAGATGTACTATAGCATGAGCACTTTTAATAGGGTGTTTGATTATCTGGGAGGATTGGGAAGGCTCCACTGAAAAAGGGATCGCTGAGCTTTTACAATTGAATTCTAATTAAACTGGTAAAAAGAAAGAAAGAGTATTTTCAAACAAATGCCAACAGCATTTGCTAAAAGAGAACGTGGTGAATGCAAAGTACTGCACCTTAAAAAGACGGTTAAGCTATGGCAGGGCAGTGAGATGAGTAGAGCATGACCAGAACTATGCAGGTTCTATAGCCCTTGATACGGGGTTCTTCATTTGTCCTAAAAGCAATGGGAAAACCAACTGAAGTCCATTAAAGGATTTCAAGCAGGAGGTGGTGTGCTAAGTATGGAAGAAAGGTCAGTGGAGAGCAGAGTGAATGGGAGGTTATTATAGTCGTATCCTCAGGAATAACTGAAGTGTGGGCTAGGATGATGGTGGAGATGGAGTGTAAAAATGGTGTGGGGGCAGTGTCTGACCTCCTCTAACTTCACAAGGGAGAAGGAAAATCAAAGTCAATAGCCCAAGGCTGATTCCAACAAGACAGCGATCAGACATGCCTCCTCTGTCTGCCATCTTTACCAATTCTGATGCCAACCATCCCTCCCACAGCACTTTCTACTTCTCTGTTGGGTTTGATAATTTATTGCAATGGCCACACAGAACTCACAGACTGTACTCAAGATTATGGGGTTTATTAGGGAAGTAACAGTTACAATTCAGGCTCAGGAACACTCAAGGATACAGTTCTTCCATCAGAACAGCCTCTTCCCTGCCATGTTTGAAGGCACACCTCTCTCTGGCCTTAGGTCTCTGCCCAAAGACACTCAGCTTTCTTGCTATGTGGGCCAGGAAGCCCAGCATGCTGTCTCCTGCTACCGAGTCTCTGCTGCCGGATCTCTCCTGCCACTTCTTCTCACCATCTTCAGGGTTACAGCTCACTCTCTCTCTCGGTCTCCTGCTTCCAAGAGCCTCTCAGTGAGGGATCCTGGGTCCAAAGGACGTGCTGGCTCCTGGTTGTTCTTCCTTGGTGGTGGTGGAATCCTCTCTTTCCCACCTATGGGGTGGTTCACCTCAACCCGAGTAGGATGGCAAAACTTCCCAATCCCTTTGGTGGGCCACAACTACCATATCTGCACAATCCCACCAATCACTTGGGTAGGAGTTACAAAACCATGGCTAGAAAGGCCACACACAAGTGATCCATTACATCATAGGGGAGAGACATGTTTTTGTGTGTTTGTTTTAAGGGAATAACACTGATTGGTCTTGGTGATCTATTGGATTTGGACAGTGAAGCAGAGAGAAAGGGCAAGAGTGACTACTGAATTTCTGGCTGTTGTGCTAGGTTGGGTGGAGATTCTGTTCATTAAAATTGGGAATCCTAGAAGGTGACTGGGTTTGTAGGGAGCAGCGTGAGTTCAGCTTAAGTAGTTTGAGACTTCCAAGAGGATATGTCAAGCAAGATGTCAGAGATATGAGTCTGAATGTCAGGCAGTGCTTAAACTCAGACAAACTTGTGAGGTATTTTCATATAGGTGGGTATTATGGATTGAACTGTGTCCCTCAAAAATATGTGTTGTAAATCCTAACCTCTATGCATGTGGTTATAATCCAATTTGGGAATGCATTGTCTTTGTCATGTTAACAAGACAGGATATATCTTGACTCAATCTCTTTTGAGATATAAAAGAGATAAATACAAGCTAGAAGCAGAGATGGGTGAAGAGAGATGCCAAGCCACATGATGATTGCCCAGGAGTAGAACTTCAAAGAGACCTTCATCCAGAGCCAATACAGACAGAAAGCCTACCCCTAGAGTCAGCACCCTGAATTTGCACTTCCAGCCTCCTAAACTGTGAGAAAATAAATTTCCGTTTATGAAAACCACACACTTGTGGTATTTCTGTTACAGCAGCACTACATGACTAAGACAGTAGGTCTAAGCTTAGTATGACTGAGGTTGAAGGGCAACAGGAAAAAAAGGAAAAGACAGATACTTGAGGAATTGTAGCATTTTATGGCCAGCTATCAGAGGATAACAGTACACAGTCAGAGAAATGGTCTGAGTGGTAAGAGGAGAAACCAGGAGTTTGTCATATTATGAAAGCCAAGAGGGAAGAAGGGGCGATTCAGTAAGAGGTGGTCAGAGAGTCTACATTCTGTTGGGAGGCCAAAAAAAAGTTCTAGTCACTTAATGACTTAGAAGTAATAGGGATGATCTCAGTAAGAATGTTTTTGCTATTGGAATGATGAGTGTAGAAACCAGTCTAGAAAGTGTTCATTAGAGAGTAGAAGGAGAGAAAATAAAGCTGGGTTCTATACCAACTCTTGGAAAGGTAAGATGACTTCACCTGAGAAGATACTCTATACTTAAGAAAATTTAGAAGGTGGATCCATCACGAGAAATTTCTTATAAACACTTAAAAAATGAATTTAATCAGATCTTAAACTGCAATTAAAACAGTTTTTTATTATTACCTGAGGATTATTGTGGTAAATTTCTAACATTCTCTCTAGTAGGCACAACATTAGGAATTACCACCATGAGACAGAGGAGGTGCAGGAAATGCAATAAGTTGTAATATTAGGCTAAGCAGCATAGATTTAGGAAGGCAGATATGTTCCGAGTAAATCGTATCATGCCCTCCAAAAGCTTGCTGGTAATGACTCTGGAATTAGCTAATATTTTAGCCTATATACACTAGTGTTCATCTCTATTAATGGAGATAATTAACTAACTATTCATCTAGGTAATTATTATTATCACCCTGCCTTTCTAGAAGATTCCTTTTTCTTTATCCTCAATAACATTTTAGCTCATTTCCTGAAAACATGGCTCCCAATAAAATTAATCTACTTATTTCCTAAGTATACAACTTTTAATTCCTTTAAATTTTCTCTTAATGACCTTTGTTAATTCATTTCACTCAACACACATGTATTAAACAATACTCGCGCCAAGTACTAGCGACTCAAAGATCAATAGGACACAGCCTCTGCCCTCAAGAAGCTAACAGCCTACCTCTATCCATTCAAATCAAGACAGACCTTTCCTTGCATTA